TTTCCGATATATATGTACATGTGGCGTTTAACTTCTGGGCATCTCGATTAAACCGCCTGTACCTCCTCTTTCTCTCCTTCTCATCAAGACTTTTTTCCCAAGACTCTATGGAAAAATCAAATTCTTCCCCCCATATTAGTTTTTTTAATAAAAAAAATTTTCGTGGAACAGAAAATTTAACAATATTTGACCTCCTCACTCAAAATTGCTATTTTATTTTTTTATTATTTTACAGCCGCGATTTTTCGTTAGTTAGACATATTCCTTTTTTATTTAAAAAAAGAATTTATCTTTTTCTTCAAATACAAAAATAACACCTCTTTTTGAACCAGGAGTTACAAAGGTGTAACCACCACATAACATTTTATTGTTTTTGTTAACCCTGAAAATGATTGATTTCTTTTGTTGCACACATTGATGCGACGTCACTTTTCAAGTTCCTGTCAAGGTTAATAACAACCAAATAAAACGCATACCACTTTTTTGCATTTCTTGTTGTTGTTATGGCTTCAATGTAATCGGTCATGCGATATGCCTGCTTACCTAGCACGCTGAGATGTTTATGCAAAGGCACATAACTTTGATCCTATTTTTTTGGTTTGCATTCTTTTTGGTAATTGCATGGCATGTGTGCATGCGAATAAGTGTGTGTATGTGTGAGTGCTATGCATGCCTTCTGATGTGTAACATTGCACACTTTTATAAATTAGTCTAGATGAACTTGAAGAATTCTCTGCTAAAACACCAACAAAAAAACCCTTCAACAACAAATAAGGAACAACAATACACCTATGTGTGTATGCGTGTGGGTGGGCGTGTACAACTACTACTACTATGTCAGTGTGTTGGTTGTCGGCATCCGTGTACATTTGAGAGTATGTTTTGTTTTCGTTTTTTACTTTTTTTGGGGGGAAATTACTGTGTTGTTCACAAAGTATGCACACAACAAACAACAGCAAACACAGTAACAACAGTAGCAGCACCATCGGCATGCCAGTCATGCCAACCAACACCACACATACGTGGTGTGTAATGTCATACATCTCTTAGAGAGTAGCTGTGAATGGGATGGAATGACAAAGTAACAGCAACAACAACAGCATCAACTAACTATGGTTGGTGACAATATGCACTGAATGCACTTTGGAGGGCTGCTGCTACTCTCGCTCTCGTTGGCATTATTAGCGTTGATGTAGTTGTTGTTGTTCTTGCTTTCTTTTAAATAGGTTTAAGTAACACCATTTGTGTGTAAGTTTTTCCACAGCCATTATCATCGTCAACAGCATCCATGTTGGGGTTTGTTTGATTTTAGCCGTGTATTTTATATGTATATACTCATATAAACTCTTCTTGTAAATTATACACACATATTTGTTGCAAAAATCTCCTATATATATACGTACGTACGAATATTTCCGTGTATGTAAACATGTATGTATGTTTGTTTGTTTAGATGTGTAAAAAAGGTATATCGCATTTTTTTGCACAATTTTCAAGGTTTCACGACATGTTTTTCTAATTTATATTTTTTTCTTGTTTCTTCTTGTTTTCGCATTTTGCCTTAACACTTTTTTTGTGTTGGAATTTTGTGTTCTTTGATATTTCCAAGTTGTGTTTGTGTGTGTTTCTTTCTGTGGTATTTCTTTGCTTTGATAATAGCAGAAAAAATAACAACAAAGGTTAAAGAATGGTAAATTATGATTCAGTATTACATATGTACATACAAATCATTATTTAGAAGAAATAAAATAATACACACTTTTTGTTATTCCAAACGGCATTCTAACACATTTTCACTCCAAAGACGACGACAGGATTTTCATCGTTACTCGCGTTGCGTATTTTGATGGCCATCATCATCATCTGCATTTTCATTGTGAACCTCAACAGCAAAATCATTGATGGTCTCTGTTAAGGATACGTTGTTGTGATTGCTGTTATTGTTGGTTTTGGCCAAAGCGCCCGTTTACCACACTGAAAACTTTGTCATTGGTAGAGCCATAACCATTCGATTTTGTGGATGCCACTACAACAAATCACTCACATTTTTTTTTTCATAATTTTCCCGCACAATTTACAACAATTTTATTCTTTCCTGTGTCACTTTTTTCGCTTTTCCTTTCAATTTTTCGTTATTTTAATTTTAATTTTTTTTTTTTTTTGTTACAGAAAAACATTGAATAGAAGCATTATTTTCTGTGTAACTTTTGTAACCAATTGGAGAAAAAAAACAATATTAACTACACGGAACGCGAGTGAAGCTGCGACTACGTTTGTTAATGGCATATGTCTGGAGCTAAACTGTTGGCAGTGTTCCGTTTGTTTGGCCCAACAGGGTGAACACGAGCAAAAACTGTCGAAGCAAACGTATGTTTGCTTGCCTTTGTTGGTTGACGGGCATTGTACACCGAGCGCGGGGCTAATAGTGCTCCCAATGTCAATGCTGAGAATGGAACATGCGCATGCTGTGCAATTTTGTTTAACCCATTAAAGGGGATAACAGTGCAGCTAATGGCCGTTCCTGAAAAAAGAAAACAACGGGAATATGTACAGTAATTGACGGAGATGGAGGTGGGGGGTGAAGAAAGGTCTGGAATTAAACACTATAATACAGAAAATTTGTTTATGACATTAGACAGTTGTTTGATTGAGAGCTTTTATAGCTTCCGCCACTAAATGGCATGTTATGTGTGTCAATTTCAGGATATATAATACTAAAAAATTAGCAACAACTGGTGGTTTCAAAAAACGGGGTCCAAAAATCTCCTAAGTGGTTTGAGTTAATCCCATCATGTAACCAGCTCGTGTTCGTGCACCCCTAATACACCAAAAAAATTGTTAATAATTCAAGGTATGTAATGGAAAAATCCAAAAATATATAAAATTTATTTTTTATATGAAAAACAAAAACGGAACACGCAAAATTAAAAGCTAGATGGCGCTGTTTTCATTGCAATGCTAATAAATCGGAATTCGAACAGATGTCAACCCTATGTTATTGTTGCAATTAACAGGATATGTGAACAAAATTGTATATCTGTGCTCGCCCTGTTTATTGTTGAGGGCTGTGTTATCAAAATATATGAAATTCCGTGAAACTTTTACAATGAAAAATAATCAGGATATGGGTAGGAAATGAAATAAACTTTCAGATGAACAACTAAAAAATCGTACTAGTTATGCACGGAAAGTGAAAATAATGAATCGAAGTGTTCCAACGACGGACTATTCAGTTACAAAGTAACTGGCGCAACGAAATTTAATCAATTTTAAGTTCTCAAGAAGACACAGTTGATTTCTACGTCGTCAAATCCGCATCTATCCTTCTGTAAGTGGCGTACAACAGGCTTACCCCCTGAGTTTACTAAATCCAGGATAATGAAAACGTACTATAAGGAAAATAATTTCGGCAAAAGAGCTTTTTGCGGATGAGCCCAAACTTAATATACAAATATCGGAAGAACGAATAAAAATACAATACAATAATCTTCTTCCCAGCTGGGAATGTGCAGCTGAAGTTGGAAACCTACATTTTGTTGATGGAGATATTTTATACAATCCTTGAATAACAAATTTGCTATACATATTTTTTTCATAAAAATTATATCATCTGGTAACCAGAAAAGTTCATGAGGATAAAATATATCCCCGTAATTAGGGTAAATATTTAATAAATTAGAGCTTCCGTTTAGAGCGCATAACAGGCCTTTGACGCGCTTAAGTTTATGTCCAAATGCAAATTTAATTTGTTAACGGCCGGAAATTAGCTACGTTGCCAACTTTCGATAAAATCGTTTCTATTGTAACTACAGGGTGAAACAACACATGACACATTCGGATCTAACTACCTCTCAAGAGAAAACAGGATCTGGAAACTTCAATACATAAACGAAGCCTATACCAAAAGCTCGATCTCGAATCTTAGTTACATACGAACTAATAATTGGTCTGTTCCCGTACTGCAAGAATGTACTAGTTTTTACTATTTTGTTCGATATCATAAAGAAAAAAGTGTTATCGTAGTAAAAAGTAATAGATTCTAGCAGTACGGGAACAGGCCAAATATTTCATTATTATAACTGTTGTTACTATGACAAAATAAAGGAATCTGTGATGGAGGCCACCAAACTAAATTATTAATTTTAAATTTAAGGACGACTTTCATTCATTTTTTATTATTTAATTCATTTTTTTATATTCTATGCTATCTTTTATTTCAGCACATTGATGTAAATATACACAATTTGTGCTTATTGTGTTACCTTGTACTTTCGATAAGAATGTTATCGATTGTTAGCAACATAGCTAACTTGACGCAGGTGAATTTGACAACCGAAAACATATGTATGTCAGAAATAGAAGAAGAAGAAGAACTGCTCAGTTGTTTATTGCGTATTCGAGGATTAAATTTTCACCGCAAAGTGAATTGTCTGCTTGGTTTGTGCAACGTTACAACAACGACGACTGTGGCGAAAGGGCAACATTTGACGACAATACGGAAAAGTGGCGTGGCGATTAAAGGTCCAATTACTTGGTCCTATACATTTTCACGAGGTTGGAGTAGACGTTGGTGGGCACGTCTGCAAGGATGAGTTTGGCACTGCGTTTGACTCGGCTTCCGGTCGTCGTTGCAAGCGGTGTTTGTCAGGAATCTTCGGCATCGATATTCCACAAACACAGCTGTTTAGGTAACACCGCAAACGCATTACTGCGACGACACTACGTAACTTCAAGGTGAGTTGTAGTAAAAGTGGTGTAAATTGCCATGTAAAAAGTAACAATTGGTCAAATAATTAAGACACTAATTTGCATAAATATACTATATGAAAGTATGTACCTATGTATATGCATTGCTGAAAAAATATATGCGATGATGATTTCACAACAACACCTCAATATTAATAATCGATCATTTTATTTTTAGCGATCCTGCAACGAAAAAATCCCCCTCCACAACACCCGTTCCACCAAAAAGCACTGAATTTGAGGCAAACAAAACTGACGAGAAGAAGGATTCTCCACTCAAAGATGCATTCGACACGGCACAGAAAAGTGGGAAACCATCCACCACTACCCCGCTAGCGGAAAATATTAGTAAATTGCAACAGGCTGCTGCACCCATTAAAGATGCTGCAAAACAAGCAGTCATAGCCAAAGCTAAACTATCACCGCAACAGGTGCGTGAAAATGTACGAGGATATATGTTTACCCGTTTCTTTGACTATGTCAAAAATTATGACAAAGTTTTGGAAAAGAATTTTCCCTCGGCCATGAAAGTGTATCGGGTTTTCTTTGATGGTGTAAAGTTGTTCTTTGCTGACATGAAACGATTTTTGAAAATTGCACGTATCGTTAACGCTTCTCCAAAGGGTCTGAAAAGTTTAAACCGCCAAGAATTGGAATTGTATATGCAAATGCCAAGGGATATGATAAAAGTGGCACCGGCTTTGATATTGTCATCGCTGCCCATGGTCGGCTATGCTGTGTTTCCATTAGTGTAAGTTGTAATCCTATGAAAGCAAACAAAATGGATCTTCAAGTTTCTATTTTTTTTTTCTTCTCATTTAGTGTCATGTATCCCCGTACATTCTTAACCTCACACTTTTGGACCCTGCAGCAGAAATCCGAATTCAAGCAATATTATTTCTTAGAACGTTTGACATACAACCGTCCGGTATTGCGATGCTTACAGGCCAAATTGAAGACCACCAAAAATCATCCCAAACATGAACAATTTGCTCAGGTCTTGGGTCAGTTGGGAAGTGGCACACATCCCAGTGTAGAGCAAATCTTAGACATTAAAGATATTTTTGCAGATTCACCTTTTAATTTAATATCGCTGCCAGGAAAACATATCGTAAGTAAATTTGAAAACAACCCTTCTCCTAAACAAGCGGCAGCCCATACAAACACGTGTAGAGTAGATCAGGATGGTACGATACCTAACATATGCCCAGCATGTGAACTAGATCTACGTGATACGTTGCAACTACTCAACTGCCAAGTTATTTTCAGGCAGCGACCTCTTACGGTTCTTTTGCATTATTATTGCTATTTGAATATTCTTCAATGGGGTATAATAAATGAGATAGGACTCGTACTGGACTGCAAAACAGATATTGAACTGTTCATGAAAAGTCACACCAGCTCAGAAACTCACAGTTTCAATCTTCTAAGTTTATTTTTTTTCGGAATTTCACTTACGATTGACGTCTAAACCAGGGACGTACGCAGGGGGGAGCCCGTCAATGCCAAATTCTTCACTTTGTCTAATAATAGACTTATTTCCAGAGTCCCACAAAGTGTGATATATTTTGATTCGTAAAATGAATCACTGCGAAGTTTATTAGTCTATTACCATCACAGTTGATGCTCGTAAGGGCAATAACAAATAAAGTTGAGATCGTTTATAACGACAGTCAAGGTGCCGAAATGTTTGCGGGATTTAGTAGTATATCGATATTACAATCGATATGTCGTTAAAATGTCCTTATAAACGATTTCGACTGTACTACAATTTTTAAACAACATATTTAAAAATTATTTATATTAAAATACTTTTATACTCTCTCTCTCTCTCTCTCTCTTCATCTTCCAGAAATTGCTCAATAAAATGCATGGCATCCCACGTGGCTGGTTCAAGCGTCACAGTTTATATGAACACGCCTTCTTTATACATTACATGGATTTGGCAATATGTCAAGAAGGCGGTGTTCACAATATGCCATTGGAAGCCCTGCGCAATGCCTGCTATATTCGTGGTCTAAATCCTATAAATATGAGCAATGATGACATGATTTCGTGGCTGCGTGATTGGATCAAGATCTCCAAAGAAATACGAGTTGAACATTTAACCCTGTATTTGCATTTGCCCATTTTAATGGCCTATAATCATCCGAATAATTGGCAACTATTATATGGTCATAAGGATACAAAGAAACAAAGTCAATCGACCACAACAACAAACAGTGAATAATAGATAAGACAAAGAAGAGTGGCATTGCAAAGACGAGACGATTATCACACTGTACTCTCTTTAGATAGTCAAGTATACTAAAAAGAAAAAAATAAAAAAGCTGGTCTGTTATGTTATTTTTAATAGTTCCTTTTATTATTTTGGTTTATTTTACTTTTTTTAAGTTTTATTGAAGTCCTGAGAAAGAAAGAAAAAAATAAAAACTGCTGTTAAATAATACCAAAAATATTACCGTTGTTTTTATATTGTTTATTGTCCACAAGATGAAGACATTTAGAAATGAAAACTGAAGAATCTACAAATTTTTACTAAGATATCCATTTTTCCTTTTTGATATCGGAGAAAATAGTAAAAATGAGTAGATTATTGTTGTAAGGGCGCATTTTAAAAATATATCAAATAAGCAGTCGATTTTTAAATATTTTAATAGAAAACTGTAATTGTTGATTAGAAGAATATTTTTGTGGTAATCCTAAGCATAAGTGATTTTCAAATAAAGAACGCCAAATTCAAAAGCATAGAAACATGAATATGTAACATACCATATTGAATCGCATGAAATAAAAAATTTTCTCTTTCTCCTGAATAGGCCTATCTATTTACTTTTAATAATTTTACATTTTTTCTGAAAATATTGTTGTAAAATAATTCAAATTAATAAAAAATTTGACATTTGTAAAATTTGTTTCTTGTTTTGTACACAATTACTCCATTATTATTTAGACAAAAAAAATAACAGGGGTAAAGATTTTTAACAGAAAAATGTTAAATTTGCATAAAAACAATTTGTAACTTACCATATTGAGATCGCTGAAATAATTTGAAGAGGCCTGAAATAATTTAAGAGCTGTAAAATAATTCACTTAATAAAACACGACATTTGTAATTCGTAGAAAACAAACTCCTTATTTCGACAGGCCAATAACAGGGGCAAAGGTTTAACAGATTTATGTTAAATTTGTAACATTTTTTCACTTCGACAATTACAAAAAAATATATTTATTAACATTAATTGTCAAAGTCCGCACGACATACACATTTAAGAAATTATCATAGTCCACAAAATCTCATAATTACACTTATAATAAACAATAATGCGAAAATCGTCGACTATAAAATAAAACAAGAACATCTTAACAATCACGATAACAATTGCGGGCCAAGAATAATACATGTACATTTCACTAACTTGACAAGCAATACTAGTAAAAGTAGTAATTATTCACAGAAACCCAAACAAAAATTTTGACTGCAACTAAGAATCTACTCGAAGATAAAATTTCATACAAAGGAAAGGGACACTCGATTATATACTTTGTAATTATTGAATATGTGAAGGGTTAAACAACTCAACGGGATAATAAATCTATCTTTAAAAGTTCCCGCGGAAAATCTTTAAGCTTTATTACACATAATGAAACTAAAAGGGAGGATTTTCTTTTGTTAAATCTTGATCGAATACATTCACTCGCGACTCTTGATTAATAAATAACCGAATTTTGGCAAGTAAAAGCACTCCCCAAATGCATTTATTGGATTCACAAACTTTTCTTTCAATTTCCTTAGGATTTCCCGAAACAAACTAATTCACGCCCTCTAGTGTGGTAATGCTAATACTAAATAGTATCAAAATATGTAGATCCCTATAAGTATTTACAAGGATCTACCTATAATTGGTATCAATTTAAAGGTCAACCACTCCTCTTGCATATACCATGAACTTCTCCGTCTATATCCTTCAGGAATAAATTTATGATCGATCTTCACAGTCATGCTTATTCTTTGACCAAATTGTGGAAAAAAAACAAAAAATAAACTTGTTTACTTCCTCTGCAAAATATTAACAAAATCATTACCAAAAACAAGTAAAAACGTGTCAGTCGGTGTTGCCGACAGATATATACCCCCAGAGGTCTTCGGAATTAGACGCAGATTTTATGATTACCTTATTATGTATAAGAAATATGTTTTTATCAAAAAGGTTTCGGATTTAATGTTGATAAAATTTTATAAATAATTGACCATTTGGGAGGGAGGTACCAGAAGGAGTGGACTACTGGGTTCCATCTTTGGACTTAATCTAGACTTTGTAAAGATAATGGGTTGTACAAATGGAACGGAATGTCCATTCAACTGATATTGGATTTGCTAATATTGAAAATGTTGACCCCCTGTAGGGGAGGTACCAGAAGGAGTGGACCAATGGGTCCCATTTTCCTACTTGATCTAGACTTGGTAAAGATAATAGGTTGTGCAAAGTTTGTTCACATCTGGCCTTTCATTGGCCTGATATTGGATGTAAAAATTTTGACCATTTGTGGTCGAGGTACTTGAAGGAGTTGACCAATGGGTCCCATCTTCCTACATGATCTAGGCTTAGTAAAGATAATAGATTGTATAAAGTTTCATTAACATCGGATAGTCCGTTTGCACCAGCCAGACATACAGACGGACAACGCACGGATGGACGGACTAAATCGACTCCAAATTTTCTGAAACTGATTTGGTCCAAAGAAACATGGGTCTAAAACCAATATTTCGATGATGCACTTTTTCACCGTATCAAAATGTATATACACTCATTAGCATAAAGGCTGAGGGTATAACAATAGCGATCTTCTTTGGCCAGGAATCGTTCTACATGCAAAATTTCGTGAGAAAATTACTGTGCCAAGTGTTTCAAATTATATTGGGCAGACGGACATACACATATATACTGCTATATTTAAATCTGAACCGATTTTTCCCAATTTCAATAGGGTCCATCCTTGGGCCAAATAAATGAGCTGTGCCAAATTTCATCCAAAACGGATCATAAATGCGACCTTTACTTTGCTCACAAAAATACATGGACGGACGGACATGCATAAATCAACTCAGAAAGTGATTCTATGCCTATTCTCAAAAGAAACCATGGGTCAATCTCGATTCCTTTTGCCTGTTACAAACATATGCACAAAAACTGAATACCCTGTACCAGTTTGGTGAAGGGTATAAAAATGGGTTTAGCTAAGATATTTCAACGAAAATTAGAATGTTTTATCCCTATTTTTTGGATTATATGATGGTGCAAAAAATAATAAATATAACAACTACAACAGGGATTATTTTTATATTCTCAAACTATTGTATATAGAGAACACAAAAGTTTGAGAATTTTCCTAATTATAAATATCACAGGAAGTATGAATTTCCATCCATCAAAATGTCGTAATCAAGAGCGACATCTAATATTTTTCTATTTTTGAAATACTCATTCTCTCTTTCACCATTCATATATATTATTGCTTGTCCTACATCATAACGACCAAAATACAAAAATAAATTAAATGTGTTTTTATTTTCTTAGAAAATAGTTTGTTTTTTCAATATTTTTTATTATCTTCTTTCTTTAGGTCTTTAAAGAAAAAAACGTACTAAATAACTATTCAGAACATTGTTGTGTGTGTGGTGTCAAAAGTAAATATGGTCAAACAAATTTACTTCTTGGCAGCGCCCTTCTTGATGCCCTTAGCCTTCAATTCGCGAATGCGTTCACGTTTGTCCTTCTTGATTTTACGTACGGTACCGTCTTCCTTGGTACGTTTCTTCAAGGCGTTGAAGGCGATGGTCAACAACTTGTTGCGTTGACGCTTGGCATAACGCAATTTGAAGCGATCGAAATCGTTCAATTGGGAGCGCTAAAAATAGAAAATAAACAAACAAAAAAAAAATTGTTAGCCACCATTCCATAAGCAAACGAGACCAACAGATTGATAATGAATATTGTATGGGGTCTTCAGTTAATAAAAGAATTAGCTTCATGTATGTATCAGCCGGCAATTCCTATCAAGAACTTTCATTATCATCATGTTGAGAGATTTAGTGTAGTCATCTCCATTTAAACTATGAGGGATTTGTTTTTTACTGTTATAATACATACCTAAAAGAGAAGAAAAAACACAAAATTAGTAAATGTAAACAATGGTCATAAATCCAACAGCTGATGATAATGAGTGGTTTCAGTTAAAATGAAAAATTAGCTTCATGTATGTATCAGCCGGCAATTCCTATCAAGAACTTTCATTATCATCATGTTGAGCGTAGAGTAGTAGGAGGAGGGGTATAGTTTTCGTTTGACAACTTACCTTGCAAATGTTTTGAGCCTTGGTGGACCATGGACTAACTTTCCATTGGGCCTTCAAGTCACTTTCAGTCCATGCCTTGCGGACAACACGTGTGGGGGCAGTGAAAGGGAACTTGATGCGGTATTTGGTCAAGTGCAGATTGTTCAATCTGTATTCTTGGCGGGGTACACCAGTCAAGGGACCATCAACGAGAACCTAAATAAAATAAAAAACAACAATTAATTTCAAGCGCATTTTCAACAAAAGAGAATACATACACAGTGACTTCATCGATTTGTTTATTTGTAGTCTCAGTTAATCATGGTAAGATAGCTTCAGTTATGTATCAGTTGGCACTTCCTATCAAGAAGCCAATAATCATCATGATCACAAATAAACAACAACAAAGTCACCACATGTGTGGAATATGAAATGTTATTTTCAAACTTACCCTGTTTTGGTCAATCACGTCGACAATGGCGACGAGACGTCCCTTCAAGGGACCAGCCGAGCATTTCGCAATGCGACCAGTTTGTACAAATCTTTGGAAGGGCTAAAAACAGAGATAAGAGAAACACGTTGTTATAACTTCTTTGAAAATTTAATTATTTCAGTCTTCACATTTTATTACGAATACTGCTGTGGAAAATTATGCTTTCAAGTCCCTCTCTGGTTCGACTAAACACGTTGTGCTGCTATGCGTGCACACCGTTCTTCTTTTGACACATTGTCAGCTGTCAAAACGAGTTGGCCAACTACAGGAGCACACACTCACACTATTTCCATTTGTTTTCACACATTTCCAGACAAAAATTACACAATTTTCACATAAACCGATATAATTTCCATTGCTGCATCATTTGCACATACATTTAACAAGGACTTGAAACATTTTTCCACACATTTTCATAATTTTTCGTGAAGAAAAAAATTGAAAACATTTCTTACCATGACTGCTAACCGGAAAGAAAGAAATGTAAAAGAGCGAGAGCAAAAGAAAACGCCATCTTCCACAACTTTTCTAGCAGTTTTTTCGTAATAGATTAACACGTGGGTCGTGCTTACACCGCAGCTGGTGACAGGGTTGTATTTTCGAAGTGTTTGTTTTGGAAAAAATCGTTGATGGGCAAATATTTTTATGTGATTTAAACAGATTTGATGTCTATTGATTTTAAATTTCAGGTCAAAATTGTAAATTTTAAAGTCATTGGTTTCATTTCAGTGTACTTTTTGGGAAGAGGTTTTAAACATAAATATGTAAAGATAGTACAGACAACTATATTGTATCAATAGTGTAAATAATATATTTGTAATAGAACATCCTTTATGTATTGGACAAAATAAAGTATATTTATATTTACTTTTTTGTCCAATATATAATAGTAAAACCACAAATGCCATAACTGTCTTAATAAAAAATTTATTTAGAATTGGATTAAGAAATCGAGTCGATTTAAGAGGATATTCTATAAGCTTGTTTGTGTGCATTTAAAATCAATCTAAATTTATATATAAAATAGTCGCTAATAAAAAAATCAAGAATTTCACATAAATTCAAAAATTGGTATGGTTAATGTATGGTTTTCAAATAAAAGGCTACAAAACTTGTAAAATAAGTAAATGCTTTCAGGATCTGGAATCGGACTATAATCTCAAGGGATGTATAAACGGCAAAATTTGGAAACACATACCAGGATTCAAGCATGGCATATTAAGTTGGCATTATTTAAAATGTCAATTTATAAAGGGATATCAGAGTCAAACTTGATTTTGGACGTTATTTTTCCTTATTCTGTTACATTAAACAAAGTCAAATTAACATGCCATGGCTGTGGCCCTGTTAAGGAGAAAATACGTACAATCATGGTACAATTATACAAGGTAGGTTGGCAATGCATGAAATGACACCATTCAACTTATGCTACAAAAACCGTTGTTTTTGTCCCGATCTTCTGTCAATCGATCTTCTGCACATCGAATTCATATAGAAATTACCAATCGAGACATCAGCTGCGCTAAATGAACTATGTATTTATTGTGGCATGGTTTAGACTAAATCCATTTGATCTCAAACGTCAATTCCATTCCCTCACTTAATCCTGTTCACAAATCCAGTGGATTATATTTACGTATACGCTATGGAATTGTCATTTGAGATTGACTGGGTTTCGTAAATCTAAACGTACCTTTAACATGCATTGCCTGTAGTCCTCTTATATGTGAGGCCACACTACCAAAAGGCAGAATTTGGACGAGAGTGCCATTCAAAGGTGCTACTGTGTATTCCGCCTAAAGGGGGAAACACATACGAGGATTCAGGACTGCCCTGTTAAGTTGACTTCGTATGCATTGTCAATTTATAAAGGAATATCAGAGTGAAAATTGAATTTGGACGACGTTCTCCTTTATTCTTTTACAATAAAAGAAGCCAACTCAACATGCCAAGCCTAAAAGTCCTTTTATGTGTTCCCCCATAAAACTTGTTTGATTGTGTGACATCTCATGTTCGTCACTCACCAGACAAACACAAAATTAATCATGGTTGTTGAACAATTATTATTCGATAAAAGAGCTGACAGTCCAAATTTATTGTGTCGCTCATTTGCTGCAAGACAGGCATAACTCAAAAAATATGATTTTCGAGTTAATGGTGCACGATTGTTCGCTGTAACAGACTTCATGTTGTGTAAAAAATGCATATGAATATATCTTACACACTCTAATTGAGAAGCTGTAGAAGTTCCTCTGTCCCATATAAAGTGTGAATAAATTGAAAACTTAAAACGCATCTCCTGTAAAATCGCTATGAATTCATAATGAACAACGAAATAGAATTAATATTCTATTACAATCATTGCAAATACAACCCTGAATGATGCATTTGACAGTAGATGAAAGTCGACTTAGGGATCAATAAATCGCACGTGTAAACGGGAGAGACGTGCAAACATAAAAAACTGTCCCATATTATTTAAATTTTTTCATTTATTTTCCTCATTTACTGAACGTTAACTAACATAAAATGCCGGAAGATGAAGGAGCTGATAAAAAGAAATCACATCGGGCACGACAATCTGGTGTGAAGGCTGAGAAAAAGAAATTGAAAGCGAAGAAAGAATCAAATCAAAAGGAACCAACATTGACAGCACGTCAACGGAATCCTAAAGCATTTGCCATTAACTCTGCCGTCAGTGCTGAAAGGAATTTCCGACGCAAAGAAGATTTAACTGCCAAGAAACAACATATTCCTTTGGTGGATCAAACTCCCGATGAACCACCACCAGTGTTAATTGCAGTAGTGGGACCACCAAAGGTTGGTAAAACCACACTGATCAATAATCTGATAAAAAGCTTTACCCGCACTAATGTCAATGACATTAAGGGCCCCATTACCATTGTTACGTCCAAGAAGCGGCGTATTACATTGTTGGAATGCAACAATGACATCAACTCGATGATAGATGTGGCCAAGTGTGCCGATTTGGTATTGCTTATGTGCGATGCCAGTTATGGCTTTGAAATGGAAATATTTGAATTCTTGAATATATGCCAGGTGCATGGTATGCCAAAGATTATGGGCGTGTTAACCCATTTAGATATGATTAAGAATACTAAACAGTTAAGGAAACGGAAGAAGGAATTGAAGCATCGTTTCTGGACTGAGGTATACGATGGTGCTAAATTGTTTTATTTGTCGGGTTTATTGCACGGTGAATACCTGAGGAATGAAATCAAGAATTTGGGACGTTTCATATCCGTAATGAAATTCCGTCCTTTGACATGGCGCGGTGCCCACAGTTATGTGGTTGTGGATCGTGTTGAAGATATGACCAACACCGATGTGATACGACGTAATCCAAAATGTGATCGTGATGTGGTCTTGTATGGTTATGTTCGCGGTGTTCCCCTGAAGCAGGAGCATATGGTACATATTGCGGGTTTGGGTGATGCTCGAATTGATGAATTAAGTGCAATTTCGGATCCATGTCCATTACCGGGTACAGAAAAGAAACGTACTTTGCTGGAGAAGGAGCGTTTGCTGTATGCCCCAATGTCGGGTGTGGGTGGTATTGTTTATGATAAGGATGCTGTGTATATTGAATTGCAAGGATCCCACAGTCATAAGGATAAGACTGCTGAGGCCACGGAACAGGAAGAGTTGGTGGGAAAGTTGATTGGTAAAAAACAAACTGTGGATGAACAAATCGATGAACAGGAATTCCGTTTGTTTTCGGATGGTGCTGCGATTAAGTCTAAAGATTTTGTACAAGAAGATGAAATGGGGGAGGATGATGAAGAAGATGATGGCTCTGATGATGGCGATGATGATTCTGGGGAAGAGGTAAGTTGTTACAAAAAAATTTAATAAATTGACATTTAATTTAAATGTTTTCATTAGGATGATTCCGGTGTTGATGACGATGAAGAAGAGGATGATGAAGCTGACAGTGTTAATGAATTTGATGGCGATGATTGGCGTAATGAAGATTCCCAAAATGAATCCAGGAATATGGAATCCGAAGAAGATTCTTCCGATGATGATGATTATCAAGATTTGGATAAATTGAAAAAATCTAGAAAATCTAAAAATTCCAGTGATGAGGATGAAGAGGAGGAGGAAGACGACGAAGAAGAAGCAATTATTGCCAATAACTTGAGTTGGAAAGAAAATTTGGCCGAGAAGGCCAGAGATGCTTTCCTTCAGCGTCACTCTGAATCCAAAAATTTAATGCGTTTGGTCTACGGCTGTTATACACAGAGTGAACTAAAAAAGTCAGCCGAAGATAATAATGAACAGTCAGCTGGCGAGTCTGACGATGATGAGGATGCTATTGGTGGCCTTTTCAAGGTGGCTGCTAAAAAGCAAACCGAATTGCAAAAAGATAAAGATTTGCGTGACAAATTTGAATCATGTTTCTTTGATGATAATTTCGGTAAGTTTTTGAGATCAATTACCGTTTGCGGATTTTTATTTTAACTTTTTTACAGAAAGCACACGTAATTGGCTGGAGGATAGTAATAAGGATTTAATACGCAATTGCTTTGTTACCGGCAAATGGAAAGCCTCCGAGGATGCTGAAAATCTTTTGCGTCTCGATGATATGAGTGATGCGGAAAGTGAGGTATATGGTGATTTTGAAGATCTGGAAACGGGTGAAAAACTAAGTGGCAAACCCAAAGAAGAGGGCGAAAATGAACAACAAACTAATGAATCAGAAGCCCAAACTAGTGAAGCTCAGAAACGTAAAATGACCCGTGTCGAGGAAGAAAATCTCACCAAGGCTGAAATCATGGCGAAGAAATTAAAACTCAAAGCCAAATTTGATGCCGAATATGATGGCAAAGGTGAAAAGGAAGAGGACGATGGACGCATTAAGGGTGACCACGATTACTATGAAAGCCTTAAGGCTGAAGCGCAAAAACAATCCCAGCTAAATAAAAGTGAATTCGAAAATTTGGATAATGAGTTGCGTGTCCAAATCGAAGGTTATCGTGCCGGCATGTATGTCCGTTTGGGTTTCAAAAATTTACCAGCTGAATTTATTGAAAACTTTGACCCCACTTACCCGGTACTTGTGGGTGGTCTCAACATGGCCGAGGAGAATATTGGCTATGTCAATTGCAAAGTGAAGAAACATCGTTGGTATAAGAAGATTCTTAAGTCTGGCGACCCCCTCATTATTTCCATGGGTTGGAGACGTTTCCAAACTGTGGCTGTTTATGCCAAGGTGGAAGATAATTTCCGCCATCGTTATTTGAAATATACCCCAGAACATGTTACCTGCAGCATGACATTTTGGGGTCCCATAACACCACAGAATACCGGTTTCTTGGCCCTGCAAACGGTAAAACATGATCAGGAGGAATTGAAGCGTATTGGTTTCCGAATTGCTGCCACGGGCTGTGTTACCGAATTGGATAAGTCCTGTCAAATCATGAAGAAATTAAAACTGGTGGGTCATCCCTTCAAAATCTATCAAAAATCTGCCTTCATTAAGGGTATGTTTAATACCAGCTTGGAAGTGGCCAAATTTGAAGGTGCTAAAATAAAAACTGTATCCGGCATTAGAGGTCAAATTAAAAAGGCCCATCACACGCCAGAGGGTTCATTTAGGGCCACCTTTGAAGATAAGATTCTATTGAGTGATATTGTATTCTGCCGGACCTGGTTCCGTGTCGATGTACATCGTTTCTATGCCCCAGTTACAACTCTACTACTGCCTCCCGAACAAAAGCTACATTGGCAGGGTATGAAAACATTGGGTCAACTCAAGAGGGAGAAACAAATTAAAAATGAAGCCCAACCCGATAGTTTATATACCGAAATCAAGAGACAACCCAAAGTATTTCGTCCATTGGTTATTCCGAAATCCCTGCAAAGGGCTCTACCATATAAGGATAAACCTAAAATGGGTCCTTTGACCCCAGCCGAAAAGGCTGAACGTGTGGCTGTTGTACGTTCGCCACACGAACAGAAGGTGGCCAAACTTATGAACATGATCGAAACAAATTATCAAGAGAAACGTAACAAAGATCGTCATGAAACTAAACTGCGTGTCAAGAAATTCAAATTACAAAAACGCGCAGAGGAACTTTCCAAGTTGAAACGGCAAAAGGAGTTGCGTAAAAAGGTTTCCCGCGCCCTCAGTAAAATGAAGAGTAAAACAAAGACATAAACACCTAACCCTTTGTTAAAAGGGGTTGTTTAGTTATCACTTAATTTAAGATCTTTTTTTAAGTTTCTAGTTTTTTATTTGTATAAAGAAAAATCATTTTTTAGAAAAATAAAGAAAGAAACAAAGCCTTTGTAATTTAATCCTGACTCTTGTTATCTTCAATGGCTTTTAGAGCGGCCAATAGTTTATGTTTGCGATTTCCAATGACATTATGTTCCACAGCAATGCTATTTCTTTTCTTAGGTGTATCATCTTTTAAGGCTCCGCTGGTTGCTTGTCGACAAAATGTATCGAGAAAAGCTTCACGTTCTTTATAATCATCGGATATTTGTTTACGTATGCTGGAAATTTCTTCTTTCATGCGAATTTTCTTGCCCGTATTTGGAAGCTGAGAGGTGGAAAAAGAGAAAATACCAAATTTAAAAAATACGGACATATTTGGTATTTATACAAATATATTGTAAGGTATAAGGTCTCACTTAATACGGGATTTATGAGCAACACTTTGAAAGTGTTTTTGTGACCACTATAATTTTATACATGTTATAGTGTTTATTTTAAATTTATATACCTCAACTTTCTGTTGTTCCTTAAAATAGTCGCCATTATCTTCGTATAAATCTTTTTCCAAATTTTTATCAATATTATCTATAAAATTTCCCATTTCATTGGAGCCATTACGATTTGAGCCATTTGAATGTTCTTCATTGGATGAATTCTGTTCCTCGGTATCTTCTTCGTCATCCTCCTCCTCTTCTTCCTGTTCATAATCATCTTCATAATCCGTGGAAAATGTTTCACTTTTCTTTGACTCCATTAAATGATTAGGTGTATTTTCCGAAATTTCAGCTTTACCAGCATCACCATCACCCTGATCAATGCGTCGCAATATGGCAATCGTTTTCCCACCAGAATTTGGTTTATTTTCTTTCGGACTGGAATTGCCGTTCAGTGTCATCTTCTTGACTGTGCAATTGGATCGGTGTGTTACAGTTAGATGACTTTGTGTTGATCGCTGAGATCGTTGACTATTGGAACCTTCAAAATCATCAAGGTTTTCATGATCTGTGGCATGCTGTAAAAACTTTTCCAAATCTTTGTCATCTTTGAGCTCGTCATGGGTGTTGTTGTTGTTGGTTTTATGTCGTCTGGGCATGTTCATGTTAAATTTGTCCTGGAGCTGTAAAGAGATAACAAAAATGAATATAATTTAAAATGAAAAAAGAATCAGAGGTAAGAAACAAATTGAAGGAAAATGGGATGTATGCGAAGATTGCATCAGGATAACAAGAAATAAAAAAATGGAAAATAAAAAAATGAAGATATAAGAATATTGACACTTTTTGTGCTAGGCTGAGAACTTTCCGATCTGCCCTCGTATATGTCTGTCGGCAACACCGACTGACACTTTTTTACTTGCTTGTTCTATACTTAAGTTAAGGTGTAGGTCGAACTTACCTGTAATTCCTCCAATTTTCGAAATCCCGATAATTCAAGCCGAGCCTTTTCCAATTTCATTAAAACTTCTTTGGTTTTGCGTTGTTCGGCCAGTAATTGTTGTTTAGCCTGTTTGGCTTCCAATTGCATTTTACGAGCCATCATCTTCAGATCGTTATCCTTCTCTTGTAAGCGTGTTTCCAGCGATTGCAGTTTTTCGGTCAATTTTTGACGATCTTCGAGGTTTCTGAAACAAGAGGAGAAGGGGTAAAGATATGCAGATAAGAAAAAATATTTTTTTTCAAATATTAATAATACAAATTAAAAAGTATCAGTCGTTGTCGCCGTCAGTTATGAATACACCCTACTTAGCAATAAAAGGGTATAAAAATAAAATTTTCAAAAATTAAAAATAAAATACGAACTACACATTAAAATCCTTTCAGGCATATAATCGATTAACGAAATCAAACAGTATTTTGTGTTCCATATAGCCTTATTTTCATTATTGGTATTTTGATAATTTTCGAAACGTTCTCTAACCGAATTGATTATAGTTTTACATGGGGTTCGGATGGTGTTCTACTATTCCTTAATCATAATTATGAACAGTTGTCTGTATTAAGGTATGACCCCCATGAAAAACCGTACTTCCAATTTAAACAGGACGTCTGTGTCTCTTTTAATTCTATGAGGGAGAAGTTATGGACGGACGAATGTTATGTGGAAAATTCTCTTTCCTCATCTTTTTCTTTTATAAAGAATTTTTTTCATTAATGACCTGTGTTTTAAATTCGATTTCAATACTTACTTATCCTTATTTAATTGTACAAAATATTTGTTCTGATCACTAAGTGACAATATAATCGCTTCCTTTTGTTTTAGACGCTGTTCCAAATCCTTATTGATTGTCTGGAGATTACGATATTTGGTTTGCCACATTCGCAATTCCTCGGCATGTGAATGCAGCAATTGGGGAAGTTCAGCATTTGTAGATTCATATTTGGATAAAGCGGAATCTTGGCGTTTATGCAAGGTGCGCAGTATACGATTTTCATGGGCCAATTCCTAGAAAACAAAAAAACCTTAATGAAAATCTCTGCTTATGTATGTTCAATAGTTCTCCTTCGTTACCGCAATAGTTTGTTGGGCATTTGCCAATTGATTTTGATAAGTTTTTATTCTTAGCCTACGAGCCGATAAGACACGCTGACGAACTTCATTTGTTGCTGGTATCAAGGCCGGTTGGCGCATGCAGCCATTTTTGCCATCCATTGTTGTGGGCAATTTTCGTCGATATATATTACTGGCGGATCCCTTGGAGCTATTCGAATACAAACTTTCACAACTTTTGGTCGAAGTTCTGCTAAGAAGAAATTATAGAACATGAATACAAAGTCTTTGTTTGATATTCTAGAACATACGGATTCATAGTTTTACAATTTCCCGAAACAACACTAGAGGCCGAAATGGATTTTCGTGGTGAGTTCATGGAAAATATAGAATAGATATTTGTAAAATTGAATAAAAATAAAATATATTTTTTCTGCTTTTTTAGTTAAAGCTCCCTTTGTTAACAAAACTTTGATGTGATACGTTATGAAAACATGATTGGAAAAAACAAAGTGTTTGGACGCTTCAATGCATCTTGTTTATCACAGGCCCCCATTGACGATGAAGTCGCCATAGTGACCACCTAACACATTCGATTTCTATGACGTCAATAACAAACAAAAACAATAATTGTTGCGAAATTAGAAGCAGATGTTATTTTCCCGGAAATGGTTGGAAAGGCTTGAAAAGCTTTGCCTTAAGAAAAAATTAAGCGCCAATTTTCTTTTTCTTTTTTCTTGACATTAGCATTGCGCAAGGACGTCGGTAAATAAGGACCACTATGTTGTTTTGTTTTAGACAAGGATTAGTTGTAAACAATGCTGATAGATTGGCTATCGTATATAAATGGGGTAATATGTGAATTTTTGTTATAATAGACGTGCTTTTTTCAGAAGAAAATGTTATGTTGATTAAGCCATGTTCGTCTCTTGATGTCATGATTGAGATCGTAGTATGTATGATAGAACTTTTTAACATAGACTTTTACTACTTCTAAATTGTTTGATATTGAAAATGGGTTATATCGGCCCAATGTTTTGATACATCCTCCTATAAAGCATTAAGATTTTGTAAACCGCAGAGTCTCGAATTTAATATTCCGAGTTCTGGGTGGGTATGCAACATTTTGGTTGATTTACGTAAAATATAGTTTATTTGATTTTTAAGAGAAATTATAAAGTAATACCAAAAATAAATGAAAAATCATTTTTAAATCTATATAATACAAAAAACTCCTCATGTTTACCTAGTTGTTGTGTGTCCTTCACTTGGTGACGTTTCTTTCGTGATATGTAGACCTCGGATTTTGCATATTTGCATATTTTTTAATAATGAAGATATCGAAATTCTGATTGGACACAAATTCGTTTCAAAGGATTTAGAATTATTTGAAGGGTTCATATTTTTTAATTTTTTGCATATTTGCATATTTTGCATATGCACGAGATATGCAAAAAATATGCAAAATATGCAAAAAATATGCAAAATATGCAAAAAATATGCAAAATATGCAAAAAATATGCAAAAAATATGCAAAATATGCAAAATATATGCAAAATATGCAAAAAATATGCAAAATATGCTAGGTCGATATGCAATAAATATGCAAAATATATGCATAAAATATGCAAAATATAGGCCAAATATGCAAAAATATGCAAAATATATGCTAAAATATGCTAAAATATGCAAAAATATGCAAAAATATGCAAAATATGCAAAATATGCAAAATATGCAAACATATGCAAAATATGCAAACATATGCAAAAATATGCAAAATATGCAAAATATATGCACAATATGCTAAATATATGCAAAATATATGCAAAATATGCAAAATATGCAAACATATGCAAAATATGCAAACATATGCAAAATATATGCAAAATATGCAAAATATGCAAAAATATGCATAATATGCAAACATATGCAAAATATGCAAAATATATGCAAAATATGCAAAAATATGCAAAATATATGCAAAATATGCAAACATATGCAAAATATGCAAAAAATATGCAAAATATGCAAAATATATGCAAAATATGCAAAATATATGCACAATATGCAAAATATATGCAAAATATGCAAACATATGCAAAATATGCAAACATATGCAAAATATGCAAACATATGCAAAATATGCAAAATATATGCAAAAATATGCATAATATGCAAACATATGCAAACATATGCAAAATATATGCAAAATATATGCAAAATATGCAAACATATGCAAATATGCAAAAAATATGCAAAATATGCAAAATATATGCAAAATATGCAAAAAATATGCAAAATATGCAAAATATATGCACAATATGCAAAATATATGCAAAATATGCAAAATATGCAAACATATGCAAAATATGCAAACATATGCAAAATATGCAAAAATATATGCACAATATGCAAACATATGCAAAATATGCAAAAATATGCAAACATATGCAAAATATATGCAAAATATATGCAAAATATGCAAACATATGCAAAATATGCAAAAATATATGCACAATATGCAAACATATGCAAAATATGCAAAAATATGCAAACATATGCAAAATATATGCAAAATATGCAAAATATATGCAAAATATGCAAAATATGCAAACATACGCAAACATATGCAAAATATGCAAAATATGCAAAAATATATGCACAATATGCAAACATATGCAAAATATGCAAAAATATGCAAACATATGCAAAATATATGCCAAATATGCAAAATATATGCAAAATATATGCAAAATATATGCAAAATATGCAAACATATGCAAAATATGCAAAAATATATGCACAATATGCAAACATATGCAAAATATGCAAAAATATGCAAACATATGCAAAATATATGCAAAATATGCAAAATATATGCAAAATATGCAAACATATGCAAAATATGCAAACATATGCAAAATATGCAAAAATATATGCACAATATGCAAAAAAATATGCACGGTGTGCTAGGTCGATATGCGAGAAATATGCAAAAAATATGAAAAATATTGGCCAAAATATGCAAAATATGAGCAACATATTTCACATATGCAATTATTTTAATTAAAAAAAAAAAAAAAAAAAAAAAAAAACAAAAAAAAAGATTTTTCATGGTAGTTTTCGAATTTGTGTGCTTTCTTTGTTTTTAACCTATAGAAATCTAATTTTGTATGTATGCGTTTCATGGTTCAACTGTTAGATTTTTGGGGCATTATGAAAAATTTGCTAAATATATGTATAAAACATGCAAACATATTTAACCGTTATATGGCGATATACTAAAACGTGGACCGATATATCCCATTTCCAATACCAAACATCCTAGGAGTAATAATAATATATGTGCAAAATTTCAAAGTTCTATCTTTAATAGTGCGACCTAGCAAACCGTGCATATTTTTTGCATATTTTGCATATGTTTTGCATATTTTGCATATTTTTGCATATTTTGCATATTTTGCATATTTTTGCATATTTTGCATATGTTTGCATATTTTTGCATATTTTGCATATTTTTGCATATTTTGCATATTTTGCATATTTTTGCATATTTTGCATATCGACAATGCATATTTTGTATATTTTTTGCATATATTTAACGCATATCGACCTAGCAAACCGTGCATATTTTTTGCATATTTTGCATATTTTTTGCATATTTTGCATATTTTTTGCATATTTTGCATATTTTTTGCATATTTTGCATATTTTTTGCATATTTTGCATATTTTTTGCATATTTTGCATATTTTTTGCATATTTTGCATATTTTTTGCATATATTTTGCATATTTTTTGCATATATTTTGCATATTTTTTGCATATTTTTGACATGACCCCAAATATCGATCAATTAAAGCATGAAACGCCTAAATACAAAATTTGAGTCCAATCGGATAAAGCATAAAAAATATGCAAAAATCCGAGGTCTAGTGATATGGCAAAATTTTTCCTTTGAAATTTTGCCACTTGGAAAACAACATATGACTCTTGCCTGAATACAAAAGTTCGAAATCAATTTGGATCTGAAAAGATAATACGAAATATAAAATCTATGGTGGTAAATTTATCAAATGAGACTGGAATGAAGACTATGTTAAATAATTGCTAATTTTTGGCAAATAATTATTTAAATTAATGCTTACCAAATCAGCAGTTTCCCATGGAACTATTTTCCTGTCAACCAATTGTCGACTTTGAATTGCACAGAAATTGTTTCGTCATCGATACCAAACTATAAAATAATATTGAAAAATCAATTTAATTCGCCAAATCGTATATTCATTAAATTTTATTACCTGCTATTGAAAGGTTTTTCTCGAAATTCTATTCGAAGACCAAGAGGAGGTATTGCTTCTTTTATATCTTCTGTTCGCATGTATTGCAAACTTCTATACCGCACTTGAGCAGCTAAATAAATAAGGATATAAAGTTATTGTTAAACCATAAAGATAATATGGAAATATTGTAATTGAAGAATAATATAAAACACAACTAATGTAAAGCGCAACGACAAATAACGATATCAACAAAATTCTTTAGAACTATCAATGCATTTTGCTACAACTCAAAACTGAAAAACATAGTAAGCGACGACCAGGAATACGAATAAATTCAATGAGACCGGAATAGAGCATAAAATTTGGATTTGTTTCAACACTCTCTCTCCTTCCAAAAAAATACACAATGCAACAGACAATTACAGAGACATTTTGGTTTGCTTTCAACTCGCTCTCTCTACTTAGATTATGTGTGTTGCACTTACGTTAAGAATTTGAAATACTTAAAATATATGCGCGTTAGAAATGCAAGAAGTATATTCTTGATCTAAGAAATTTTGCGCATATCTTATCGTTTTGAAGATCGCGCTTTTGTTGCATGGTAATATGTGTATACCAAGTAGGTGTTTGTGTGTATACACATATATATTTTATACAAACAGTTTGCGAAAGCAACCAGGCGTTGTTGAGCTTTATGTACATTTTCATAAGAATTTTTCGGAAATATACCGTTATTAAAATGTGTATATAGAAATAGTCAATATATTTGGAGTAAAATATTACATATGTATAAAAAAACACACGCGCACACTTTTATAAACACTTCAAAATATTCGGAATATATATTTTATTTTTTTCGCCATCTTTGTTATACTCACCTTTCAAATAATCAAAGACTTCAAAATATTCGGAATATATATTTTATTTTTTTCGCCATCTTTGTTATACTCACCTTTCAAATAATCAAAGACTGATTCCAATTGAAACTCCTGGAGTAATTTGCGCAGACGGGAGTCGTCGTCCACAGGAGGCGTCTCTTTCACAGTTGATAAAACACTTTCACTCATTTTTTGGCACACAGAAAAACAATCAAT